TGACAGATTGTGGCTTTTGGTCAGTATAGAGGAATGTTCTTCAGTATTCCCTATTATCATTCTTGGAATTTTTTGGGTTTGTTTTTTTTTTTTTGTGGTTTGGGTTTTTTTGGTTGTTTTTTTTCTTTTCTGTTTAAATTCTTCCTCTGAAGTCAGTTAGCTCGTGATTGTTTTCAGGTTGGTAACAGCAGCCTGAGACAGCAGCAAGGCAACGTCTGACTGGGTTTGATTTTATTCCATCTGCATATAACAAATGTTTCCGAGTGGCAATCACTTCCCACCTAAGCTACTGTGTGTTTTCAGTGCTGTGATCAAATTCTCTGTATCTGACAAGAAAAAACGTCTGATCCACAGCTCTCCACTGTTGGATGTGTGAGTTCTTTTGAGATAGCAAATAATCACCATCATCCCTCACAAACACGGCGCCTGTCTCCATGCTGGAGGCAGCTTTCCTGCAGATTTGCTGTATTTGAAGTTTCCCTGTGACAATCTGGCCCTTTTCCCCTCCTTGCCTTTGGCAGCTGCTTGGGGGGATGCTCAGATGGTTCACAGGTTTGATTTTGTGCTCCACTGCAGACACTGGCTGGTCTATTTTGTATGTTCTATTTTAGATGATTGAGCCATCAATTTGCAGATTCATTTACTGCTGAGTCCAATGACCTGGATGTTCATATTCCCATTTCTAACAGGTCCCTATCTTATCCCCACTTCAGCATCCCTAAAAGCCATGGTTTTAACACTCCCATGAGCTTCCCACCAGGTTTCCATCTTTCTAGCTAGGCCAAATTTTTGCTGTACAGCAAATTCCAGATTCCTGTTTATTAGCCAGGATCTACCTTTGGTGAATAGGTGATGAAAGCGTTTTTCTCTGCTTCCTTCTTTGCTTTGATTAATTTTGTTCTTAGCACCTTCATTACGTGCTAAATGAGTTTCCATTTGTTCCCTCTTTGCACCTTTCCCTTTTGTTGTTAGTTTAACACCTCCCTGCCCAAGGCAGCCTGCCTTTGCCTCAGAAAATTGGTTTCTAATTTGGGAAGCAAGCTACCAAAATCCTCCAAATCCTCTCCTGGGGGGTTGAGGTAGGTGCTCTGTAAACAACACTCATCTTGCCATTTCCATACTCAGTTTTCCCATCAAAAACCTTCTGTTTTTCTTCATTTACAGGAGAGGAGAGATCTCTGAGAGCTCCTTTAGAAACCTTTTTAACATCCTTTCAAGTGATGCAGCCTAGAAAACATGAGAGAGGCTGAGATTTAGGGACACTGGTGCCAGTATTGAGCTGCAGCTGAGCTCCTGCCTTCCTGTCTCAGTGTCCTACCTGCTGGAGCCACCACAAGATAGCTGTGGCTTTCTTTTGGAATGGATCCAACCTCTTGGAAAGATGGTTGGGATTGGTAAATTAGCAGAAAACAAACCTGGTTGGAAATTGACAATTTCTCGTTGTCTTTTTTCTCTCTGGAGCATTTCTTCTGGACAGAAATGGTATCATGGATTGATCCCCACGGATCATCCCATTGATTTTGGCTGCCATTGGGAAAGATGTTTCCTCTCCCTCCCTTAAGGACCTTAAGCATCTGTGCATGTCCTACTCATCAGCAAAGATTCCAGCAGATGCCAAGCATCCCTTGGACTCTCACCACGCTGAGCCACACACATGCTCAGGTGCTCCACTTCTCTAAACAAGAAGAGACCATTAGTTTTGGCTCATTAGCTTAACTGAGCTGACTATTAAATCCCACTCCTCCCGCCACTTTCTGTAAAATAAACTTAGAAATGAGCCATCTTTGCAGCTGTGAGAGTAATAAATCCAATTAATTTCCATGTCTTTAGTGTTAATATATGCATTAGACATGTCAGCGCTGCCTTTTTGTTTCCTTTGTGGAAAAGGTTGTCTCAGAGATTCCCTTCTAATTAGGATGGGAGTTTAATCCTTTGTGGATATATTCCTCCAGGAAGCCACTTGCTGAGATGCAGAATCTTCAGTCCCAGGGAATTGTGTTACTGTTTGTTTAGAAGCTTTTTGTTCCTTTTTTTTATTTTTATTTATTTTTTGGTTGTTTTTTGTGCATATGGCACAACTATTACCACGACAAATTCATCCTTCCCCTGCTAATGTAAGAGTTAAGGAACAAAAAAAAAAACAAACCCTCCACTTTGTCCGGTGAAGATGTCACCAAACAAAGCAGAAAGCCAGGCACAGATGCAGCTCTCTTTGAAATCTGCATAGTAATGAGTGTTTACCCTCCTTTCTCCATCAACACAAAGGGTACAGTAAACAGCTGTGTGGGATTCATGGTCAGATCCATTAGCAGGATGAAGCACTGGCTGAGTGCGAGGCTCATGCCAGTCTCAGGGCAAGCTGAGAGGAAAACCACAGAGATCACAGCTCGGAGGCCAAGCCTGTTAGAAGTGTTGCTGGTAGTGCTCTTGCTTACAGGGAGATCAGAGCCCCGGCACAGATGGAAGGGCAAAGTGCAGGGGCTCCAGAGAATCCTTTGAAAGTTTATCAGCCCTTCTGCTCCAGAAACTGCCCGCAGGTGCCTGATGGCTGTGTCACAGAGTGCAGCCCACTCAAAACAGGAGCTGCTGGTGCAGCTCTCAAGGCACCCCAGGTTCTGTAGATAGAACCTTTTAATTCTGCCACAGCAGAGAGAAAATGGGCCCAGAAGCCAAATTTACATGAACAAACTCAGCTGCCAACCTGTTCCCTCTGCCCCATGACTGCCCTTTCCTCTCCATCCTTACAAACACTGCAAGCTCCCAGCTTCATTTTCTGAGATTTCCCAGAGCACTGCGGGTTCTTTTCTTCCTGCCAGTCTCTCCTGTTCCATCCAGGAATGGCTATTTCTTCTCCCAGAGGTTATCTAGGTTTGGAGCCTCCTCCCCACCGACACAATCATGAGGTCTCTGATGAGGAACAGCAGGGCTTTGTTCACTCTCAGTGCACAGGGGCTGTAAATCCTCGGAGGGTGACCAGGGAAACCAAGAGCTGGCTGCCCCAATAAATCTCCCAGGGTGGCTGCTGCAGTCCTCTGAGAGCTGCAGGTTCCCAATGCAGCTGTGGGATAGAGAATTAGCCAGTGTATGCACTGAGGAAAAGGAGGTTTTTGTCACTTTAGTTAAAAAGTTGTCTGGATAAGCTGCTGGGAAAGGCAGGAGAGGGTGACAGCCTTTGGAGCTTTCCCTGCTTCTTGGTTAATCCAGCGTGGGTCACCAGGGCTTTGTGCATTAAGCTGGAAGTGCTGGCAAAACCCCTGCTGCGGTAAACCCGGGTTACACCCACACTGGGGCTTGCTGCACTCCCTTGGACGTGACCTGGGGTCTGGGGACAGCTGGGGAGGGTCTGAGTGATCAGCACAGTCCAGACAGCTCCCTGCAGTCTGGATGTGGCTCTTGGGCTGGGTCCAACCTCACCTTTTCATAGAATATCCTCATTTGAAAGGGACCCACAAGGCTCATCGGGTCCTGGCCTTGCACAGGACAACCCCAAGAGCCCCACCCTGTGCGTGAGACTTGTCCAAACACTTGTTGAACTCTGGCAGGCTTGCTGCTGTGACCACTTTCCTGGGGAGCCTGTTCCTTTTATCTTCAGCTCAGGGAGGCTGAGAGAGGACAGGAGATGGCCTGTAGGGCACTGAGTGACACCCAGGAGCCAAACCCCTGTTATTGTACCAACACTGCCACCCAGTCCTTCCCAGCGCTGCAGCCCTCTGTGGTTGGTGCCTTCATGGGCCTGTCCATGCAAGGTGAAGCTCTTGCCTCATCACTCTTGCAGTGCAGTGAGGTTATTTTGAGAGCTTCTTGCTCCAGGATGTGGCTCATTTGCAAAGCTGGGCAAACATCTGTGAGACCAGCAGGCCTCAGCATTGCCACCTCAAAGGCAGAGAGGCAGAGTCTGACAGCCCCACAGTGCCCAGCCCAGCCTGACAGCTCTCACACCACTGCTGGGCTGCCAGGAGCTGCTGCTTGACTTATTTTAATTATTTATTACTGTTTTCCAAGTCTGTTCCTTCCCAGGAGTAATCCTTGTTGTGCTGTGTCATGCAGGGGTGTGAAGGAGCCTGATTTTGTGTCAGCAGTGCCAGATGGTGACTGGTCAGAGTTGGGTACAGATGCCAGCTCTGCTCTCATCTCTGTGCCTTAGCTCACAGCTCTCCCCATCCCTGTTTCCCTCTTCATCTGCCTCTGGAATTAAGGATTCTTGCTGCCTCCAGCCCACATCCTTTGGTTCAGAGCAGATACAGTGGAAAGCACATTCACATGGAAGTTCAAGGCATTGTTATTCCTGCCTCTCCTCATCACTGCTCTCCTTGTCAGCCTCTGTGCCAGGCTCCCTTTGGCTTTGGCTGCCTGGGAAGGACCAGAGCATGGATATATGAGGGATATTGTGTCTTTTGTGGCAAAGTCATGTAACAGAAAGCAGCAGGACATGCCCTAAGAGAGGTTCAAGGCAGAGTCATCTGTCACATCGGGGACACTCAGTGAGTACCACCACCAGAGACCCCTTTAGATAGCCCTCCAAGACCACAAATGGGCTCCAGTAAGGGACAGGTGCATGAGTTAAACAAACAAACAAAAATGATTATGGATTAGCTAGGAAGTGTGCTGTAGTGAGTATGTGGGATCATGATGGTGTAAATACCTTGTTATAAATTTCACAACACACCTGTTTAGAGGAAATATCCCCTGGATGTCCAACATGCTGAGAATAAAGAAAGCCTGCTTTCTAATACTTCAGCTTGTATTAGAAAGTTTGGTTTCTAGCCAATTTCAGTATCATGACCAGCAAGGAAAGGCTGCTGGTTCCCTGGGCCTCCTTTTACTCCGAGTGACAGCTCCTCATGGGCCCTACAGCCCTTGGATGCTCCTTCCTCCTCTCATCTTCTGGCAACCACTTCATAAGCAAATCCTTCAGTCATGCTCTTATTGGCAGCCCCAAGATGCAGCTATTTGAATTCTGCCTTTTGTTTTTAACCAGGTTCATTTTCTTCCCCCTCCAGGCCATTGATAATGCCCGTGGAGAGGCTCCCGACTCCTCCTGCTGCCTCAGACATCTGACTGCCACTTCCCCTGCTCTCCCAGACAACTGGCAGTCCATTTGTTTTCAGCCTCCCTGGAACAGGTCTGCCCTTTTATTTCCTAGCTCTCTTCTGCCCTGCCAGCAGCCCTGAAGCTCCCTTGTCAAAGCAAGAGAGGAGAAGAGTTATGTTCCACACACTGAGATGCGGCTGGCACTGGTGTGAGATGGGAAGCAGGCCTGGATTTGGCCATGTGGCCCAGATGTTTTGGGTTTGATTTATTTGTTTGCTACTTTTTCTGATGCCTGCTGCTCTGCTCTGGAGGATCTCAGCTTTTGTTAGAAGCAAATTAATAAGAAAAGAAAAAAAAAAAACAGCGGGGAAAGAAAGAAGAACAGAAAGTGTTGGAGGAAGCAGTGACATTTGGAAATGTACATGAGGCAATGTGGTGATGTTTACTTCAGTCTGCTGAAAACTTGAGACAACAGCTTGGAGGAAGATGGAGGATCTCCCTCTTGGCTGTCATCCCTTTCCTCTGCTGCATCCCCTGGTGGGCTCAGAGCATGCCGAGCCCACTCCCTTTGCTCTTTCCCCTGCAGCCACTAAGTGGATGCTGGATGACATTTGGATAACAACCAAACCTGAGGATTTCACTCAGTTCTGGGAGCTGTGCTGCAGAGGCTTGAAATTTTTGGAGGAGCAGCCAGACTGGAGGAGCTTTGCAAATCCTGCACACTCCTGGGCTGAGCATCCACCCACTGAACACTGAGGTGGTGCCTCAGTTTTGCATCGCAGTGAGGTGGAGTTGGAGAAAGCATCATCGACTCAAACCTTGCATAGAAACAGCTCCCTGCCTGCTGTTCAACCTCTATAATGAACACAGGCATAGATCAGAGTGAGGTACAAGCTGAAAAATTCAGATCCCAGTCCAAAATATGAATGTGCCAGCACCTGGGTGTGTAGTTCTGGAGCTGGAGTCTGACTCACTTGCAAATAGGGACCCTTTGCAAAACATGGATCAAGGTTCGAATTTCTGACCCTCCTCCAAAATTTAAGATTGAAGAAATTCTGAGAACTCAATGTTTTGATTCTAGGCCATCTAAGAGGGGTGAAATATGTGCTTAAGTGCTTTGTTGAATAGAAAGAGACTGGAGCATGTGCTTAATGTTATTAAGTGCTTAACTGTTTTTGTTGAATCAGGGCCCCCCTGCTTTTAAAGTCAATTCTAAACCCTTAGGCTGCATCTGAAAGGATTTGGAAAAGAAGTGGCATCCAGATACTGCTGGATGTTTGACTGCTGAACTCTGCATTCCTGCTTTGAAGGCTGGTTCCTCTGAATCTGCTCTCGTTGCTGTTCCAAACCTTCTCCAGGCTTGGCCCTGCTCATCAGGTGACTGAGAAGAGAGCACAGAGGGTTATGGACATTTAACACAGGCCCTGGCACAACTCCTGGAGAAGTTTGGATGTCCTGCAGTTTCCATCAGTGATCCCAAGGCAGTGTGGTAACACCAGGATCGCTGCCTGAGGGGATTGCTTGTCTCCAGGACCCTCTTCAATCCCAGCAGGGACTGTCAGGATTCAGTTTAACTTCCTCTGTAGCTCAGACCAAGAAACTCACATAGGATTCCTTCCTCAAACATCTGCTTGCTGTGTGAGCTGTGTCTGTTTTTAAGGCATCTGCCTGAAGATAAAGGCTTAAATTTATAAACCAAAATGTTTGAATTAAAAAAAAAACCACAAAACCAAAAACTAAAAGCAAAACAACTCTGTGGTGTCACCTGGTCTAGTGGAAAGTGTCCCTGCTCATGGCTGAGGGTTTGGAACTAGATGATTTTTAAGGACCTTTCTATTCTGTGATTCTGTGATTCTCTGAGATGTGATGCAGTAAGAGACTCACTGCAGGCCTTCTGAAGTCCTCTTTTGGTGCTTGTAACCATCTTCCCCTTGTTGTGAGAGCCCCTGAAGTCAGGGTGGCTCCAAGGAGTGGGTGAGCATGAGCTAAACTGGCTCCCTGTGGCTGAGGGAGCCATCCCAGGAATGCCATTGATCCCTCACTGACAGCAGGGAACTGAGAGTAGCTTCAGGCAGTGGGCTTTGCAGCCAGCAGAGATGCTGCTGGAAAGAAGGTGTCCTCAAAAATCTTTAGGAAGAGGATGTGAACTTCATCCCCTGAAATAGCCTTTTGGTGGCAAAAATGCTGGAGCTGTGTTTGAGAGGAATGAAACTCCAGAAAATAAGTGGAAAAAATAGAACTTTTCTTGCTTTACAGGTAAAAAAGTGTCTGAGACCAGGATGGAAATGGATGGAAAACTTATGCACAGATGAAAGGCTTGAAATGAAATACATTATGCATGAGACTAACAGTTGGAATCTGAGAAGCACTGGGAGGTAATCATCTGAAAAGTGGGAACAGTTCTGGGCAACAATACCAGCCTATTGCAGGGGCACCCAAAAGGTTACCAGAAAGTGCCTTTGGAAGGAGCTGAAATTGCAGGGGTGGAGTGGCCTTCTCTGGACAAACCAGACCCTCCTTCCCCCACGTCCTCTCCCAGGTCTGGAGGGCTCCTGGGTCAGTCCAGGACAGGGCTGGCAGTGCTGTCCCATGACAAGCAGTGCCATATGAGAGAGGCTTTGATTGGCAATTTTGAAATGGAATAACATCTCCAGTGCTGCCTTGCTGTTTCAGGCTATTTTATTATGAAAAATATGGTCCTGTCTGTACATCTGGTGGCAATGCAGCAAACACTAATGTAAAGATGCAATGTGCCCTGAATGAACAGTTCAGCTGTGAGAATCAGATCGAAGTTTTTGGGCCAATAATTTCTGGAAATTGAAATGCCATTCTTTCCTCTTTCAGGTTTGAAGATGCCTGGGTTGGTAGAAAATGCATTCTTTGAGGACAAAAGCTTTCATTAGAGAATATTAAAAAGTGTTATTTCCTCTTATGCCAAGATTCATAAGAGGCTCAATATTAAACAAAACAAAACAGCAGAAATTCAGGTACCTCTACATGTCAGTTTGCACCTGACCTCAAACCCAGCCTTTCACAGAACCAGAGAATTTTTTAGGTTGGAAAAGACTTTCAAGGAGTCAGGCAAACATGACAATGGAGTGACACAACATACAGGGAAGGAACTGCAGGAATAAATGTTCCCATGGCAGGGACCAGAGCTGCTCTCATCCTGCAAGGTGGAAAAAGAGTTGCTCAGGTTTCTCAGAGGAGAATGGAGCTGACTTGTGGGTCATTCTGCTAAAACCTGCAGCTCTTCAGCTCATATTTTTAGTTAAGGCTCAGAGACTGGCAGCAAGAACCTCCAGAGCCCTTTCAGACCCTGCTGTTGATGTGTCCTGGACTCTGTGAGTGCACACCTGACCTTCCCAGCTTTATGGGACTCACTGATGCAAAGCCTGGGGCTGGTGGCACCTTCCTTTCTCCAGACACGTGCCTTAGGAACATCAAGAGGTCTGTGTTTGTTCTCCTGAGAGCAGTGGAAAAGGGACTTTTTCAGGCAAAAATGTTTTATGGCTTCGGGTTTTTTTTAGTGGTTCCTTGACCTGCTGTTGTTACACACTAAAGAGACTTACTCCTGTTATTTCCACTGAGTATTTTGCCCAGCTCTAGGCTCCCATCACATGCCAGCTTCAGCTGAGGGGTCCCAAGGCCATCCAAAGAGCACAACTGCAGCCACCTCTGCCGTCATCAGGTGCAGTTTGAAAGCAAATTGTACTGCAGGTTACATCCTTTTTTTTCCCCTGGAAAAGTTCCTTCTGTTGGGAATTTTTCCCAGGCTGTCTAAATCTCATGCTGTAATTTAAGTCCCAGTGGCTGATTGTTCACAGTTTAATAGGTATTCTTCCACAAAGTCCATGCTGCTGAGGGCTGTCCCCAGCCCAAATGTGCTCAGTGAACACTGGCAGCATGGGTGTAAGAAGACATTAAACTAAGCAGAAGTTTATGTCTCCAAATTTAGGCATTTTAAAACATATGGAACCCAGTCCTGGACAAAAAAAAATGAGTCAAAATACAAGAACATCAGACTTGTTATTGTAAGGATGAATTAAAAGTAACTGGAGCAGAATTCAACCGACATTGTCTGCTTGGTGATGAGGGGAAAAAAAAAAAAAGTGAGAAAGGAAGTGTCACTTGGAATAGTCCAGCTCTGACTTATTTGAAGTGTCCATGAGCCTGAGGAGGGAATGCAGTCCCATCAGTTATCAGGGCATGATGGATTAGGTGATTTGCTGAAATGCAGGTGAAGTTTCTTTACGGTGAACAATGAGGGCGGTAGCTTCAAGCTCTGGTTCTTGTCAGCTGAGAACATCATATGTGACACTGGTTTGTTTAACTCCATTTTTCCCCTCCCTGCTGCTGTCCTTATCAAACCTTTTCTTATCCTTAGAAAACAGGCTAAAATGGAGCTGATCATGCCTGGCTTTCATAGAATCACAGGATGGTTAAGGTTGGAAAAGATCTGTAAGATCTCTGAGTCCAACCATGTACACAGCACATGAACAGTTAGTGTTCAGCTCTAACCCATGTGTCCAAGTGCCACATCCACAATGCCTTTTGAACCCATCCATGCTGCCCTGGGCACCCTGTTCCAATGCCTGGCCACCCTGTCAGTGAAGAAATCTTCCCCAATATCTGATCTAAACCTCCCCTGGTGCAACCTGAGGCCATTTCCATGATCCTGCCACTTGTTACTTGAGAGAAGAGGCCAACTCTCACCTGGCTACAGCCTCCTTTCAGGTGGTTGTAGAGAGTGAGAAGGTCACCCTTGAGTCTCTTCCACCTTTCCATCAAATTTTCTCACAGATCTTCCTTGATGAAGGGACTAGAAGCAAGTTTTGCATCACCTTTGCCAGTGTGACACCAGACAGGCACTGGGCATTGCTGAGCAGCAGTGACACCTCGCTGGGCTCGGGGCTCACCACTCCTGCACAGGTTCTGCATGAAGTGGGTCTTTTGTGGCCTTGGGGAGCACCACAGTGTTGGAGGCAGCAGTGGGTGATCCAAAATCAGCCCTTTTCCTGACACAACAGATGGGCTGCTGCTGTGAAAAGGAAATGAATGTCATTGCATGGCTTGCAGTCTGACAGGAATGTCTGGAGAAGCTCTAATGTTGCTTCCCCACAAGCAGCTGTCGTCTGCATCCTCTTCCATGGCCTCCTGGGTGACTTCTTATTTTGAAAACAGCCCATCCTTCCTTCCACATTCCGTCTGGATGGAGGTTTTTGCTGGAGGGTTTCCTGCTCTTGTCTCTCTATTCCTGCACAGCTCTGCTTTCTCAGTCGTGCCAGCGCAACTGCTCACCCTTAAAAGCGGATCACTGAAATATCAGTAAAAAAGGAAAGAAGTTGTTATTTTGTTGTTTTTTTTTTTTTTAAAACTCAGACCAGAATAGAGATCTGTTTTGCAGCCACAGACCCAGCACAGCTGGTGGAACAATGCTGTGCAGCAGAGGAAGAGTAGAAAATGCCCAAATGAACAGTCTGGAGCAGGGAAGGGCAGCGCTGCCCTCGCTGGATCCATCACATGTCCTCCTCTCCTACAGCAGGTGGGGGGAGTTGGACCCTCACAGTGACCCCGTGGGAAGTGTTTTTTGATGGGAGGCCACAGCAGATGAGAGCAAGGGGGAACTGGGCCCTTGAGGGACCTAATAAAGCTGCCAGAGGTTCCCAATGCAGCAGTTTTTGTCACAACTGTACAAACGTGGCAGTGTTTTGACAGGCTGGGGCAGTGCTTGTCATTTGAATACTGTGAGTTTGTGTTGAAGATTCTATTCCACTTTCTGAGAATCTGGCCTCTGTGCCTTGTTGAGAGCAGGGAAATGTTTCAGTGCTGTACAAATGCAAGTAAATAAATGCAGAAGGTTGAAAATGCATCCTAGGTATGCTGCTGTTACCTAGCACCCAGAGAAATTAGTTTTGTTTGACAAAAAATGGAAACACCGCCAGGATATTTTGCTCCAGTTTAGCTTGTTTGCTAGAATTGTTTGTGGTTAGTAATGAGCACAAGGTTCACTTGTAATAATAATGTAACCATGGTAATACGATAACACAGCCTGATGCCAGGCTGATTTGCTGATAAGATTTATGCCCTATTATATTATCCCATGCAATTAAGAAATACTTGGACAATTAACATTAGAATAGATTAAAATAAAGGATCAGACAGCTGTGGGTCTTAGGCACAGACCCCAAGTGTTTGTGTCACCCTGCTGTGTTTCGATGAGCAAGGAAAGCATTTGCTTTCATTTCACCAACAGGGAATTGTCATGTTCTTCAATTTTTCCAATTCCCTACACTCATTACAGTGTGACAGGTCAGAAGTGAACCTAGGAAAAGCAACAAATGTTAATTGGCCTCATTCAATCTAAATTGAATTTGATGATCAGCAGGCTGAAAGGCAAATGTGTGGGTTGGGATGTAGGGGTTTGCTCCCAGTGGGAAGGAAATGACCAGGAGATGGGTCAGAATCTTTCACCCCTTGCCTGTGTGTCTGGAATTCACTGTGCCATCCACTACTTTCCCAGGGCCCCTTTTATATTATCAGAGTCAGCTCTTTCTTGTCTTGTAAGCTCTGAGGGGCAGAGACCATCTCTTCATTCCCCATCTCTGAATCCTGAAGGAACACAGCATTTTTACCACTCAATAATACAACCAGAGGAGATGAGCCAGGATCATCATAAGAGATGAAGCATTTCATAACCACCTCTGTAGCAGACAGAATT